GAGATTGCGCTGGAACCCCCATTCCCTATACTACTCTGTCTTTTTCCGCTAATTTATGTCGAATTCACGTACAGTTTTTAGTGATTACAATCTTGTTTTGGATGATGCATGGGTCTAAGTTTTCAAGGTTCGAGTTATCGAAACTTTCCGAGTTTTCGTGGTCTTAGTGTAGGATCCCCCACATCTTCGTTGACTTCTAACGTTCGTCCTGGTAATACTGGTCGATCGGGTCCTACTAGTCGTCCATCTCGTTGATCTGGAACTACTGCTCCGTGATCTGGACCCTCGAAACCTTCCCTCGCATTCTCCTAGAGCATCGAGAGTGAGGATAACCACGATGAGAAGAGCAAAGATTGTGTAGAGTCTCATTTGTACGCCGTGCACACGGTACTCCCTTTACTTGACGGCTCTGGCTCTGGATCTTGCGCTTTTTATGCCTTGTATCTGCACTGTACCTCGCTCTGCTCTACTCTGGACCTCGTGTGTAATGAGAAATGATGCCAACTGGTCATACGCTTCTTCTTTTATGAAGGTCAACTGTGTCAGACATAATACGGAGTGATCCTCAGACCGTGAAGCAGTTTCTAGTAGTTTGTGTACATAATAGTCAAGTAGACACAAAAGAAAAGTAGGTGGGATTTCACGGTCCGAGTAAAACCACTCTAGACAATGAATATCGCACGTGATACTGTTTGCCATTATTGGCGGCCTCAGCCACCAAAAATACAACGTACGTTGAATAGATTAGCTATTGCTGTCTAATGAAATAGCTTAATGTTCCCTGCCAAAGTAGTCTCAAAATGTAGTCACTGTTAAAAAAGAAAACTAAAAAGAAGTAGAAAAAACAAATAGGGAGGGGTGGGTAAAGTTGAAAAGTTGGTGAAGCAAAAATCCATGTCCAATCTTTGGACCAGTAACAGACGGACATCTAGATCTTTATTTCATGCAACGACAGGCTTACCAGACTAAGCTTAGAACTTTGGCTTCAGTGGTACTACTCCGCAGCCTTTGAAATACCCTTTGCAAATTGTCTGCATTTTTTTTTTTTTTTTTTTTTTTTGTTTTTTAAAATTGATAAATTTGTCTTACTAGAAGTTACTTAGGTTGCTAATCAACCTTAGGCCCTGTTTCTTGAAGCTGGTCTCGCAATTTCCTGTTTCAATTATCATGTCATCTCGCATATAGTTTTTTTTACGACCATGATAACCAGTTTTGGTCAATACGAAAGTAGAAACCCTGAATATGACAAGAAACTCATGAAGAATTTGGACCTTGAGTGAAATTGCATACCATGTTTATGACAAGAAGTCGAGAAACCATACCCTGTTCAGCAGATCATCCCTGTATAGTCCATATATGGGAGTACCCCCCCTGGTATTTTTGCAGCATTGCCACAATCATTGCAAGAAATACAATCTATAAGATAAGACATTGCCTAGAGTAACACCCTTCCTGCAACTTGTCACGCAACGATTTGTTATGACAGCCAATAATATTTCATCAGGTGTAAATTATTTATTATGATAGAATGCGTGACAAGTTATGTTGCATATCAGTGTAACATATCCTACCAATAAAACTGCAATGCACCAGGGTTTTTTTTGTAGTGCAAATAAATAATTTATTAAGTTATTTACCATCCTGAAGTCAGTCCAGATAGGCAAAAATTCTGCCCTTTGTCTCGAAAATGGACTGACACCATTATAGACCTTAGGCACAGTTTTTCCCTATCCAGACTTCCTGGCCTTTAAATAACCTATTTTTTTCATCATAACAAATTGATATATTTTAAGGTGGCTCCATATAGTTTTTGTTCACGTGCGTGCCAGGTTGTGCATGAGCATGCGCAACACCAGAACTTAAAGAATTTTTATTTTGATGACGTCACGAAAAGTCAGTTGCATGTGTTCCATTTTAAAAAAATAAAAACTGGAAAACTATGTGGTCAAATATCTATATGGTTAGCTTATCAGAGTATCAAGATATAGACCTGAGCCGAGTTGTACGAAGCCTGGATAGCGCTATCCGGAGGATAAATCCTTATCCAGTGGATAAGTCAATGCTGTTTTCCAATAAATTTATCCACTGGATAAGATTTATCCGTTTCATAGCGCTATCCAGGCTTCGTACAACCGGGCCCTGTATATTCTATAAAATAATTTCTAGTTCTATTACTTTAAAGCCTGAAACTACAGTATTGATGGTTTTCATGTCCACCATGTTGGAGGAACATTAATGGATTCTTTTGTTATATCCTCCAACATGGCCGACATGTCTTTTATTATTTAATTCTCTTGGGAATGGTTGAAAACCATCAATCTGAAGCCATCTTAATAAGTTCTAAAAATTTTAAAATATCAACTATCTGAAGTCTCTAGTTTTGTTGTCCCTTTTGTAGTTCTTTTGTTTTCTGATTTTGTACTTTCGGATTTATTTGAAGTACAGCTTTTTAGATGCGCAATTATAGCATTACTGCATTCATCTACAATGTCTTTTACAACTTCCTTTTCGGCTGGGGTGAATTTTTGTAATACATAATCAATGACTTCTGATTTGTACTTTGGTCTTCCAATACCAATAAGAAACCTTTCCATTTCCTAAAAGGATAAACAATGAACATAGTTTTTATTGCTCAAATATTACTTTTTTACAATTATATATATACWTTTTTTTTTTTTTTGAGATATAGAAATATAGATAAGTTATAGTGCTTGGGAATGAGGTCATTCCAGGCAAAAGACCCCTGGAAATAAAATTCAGAAAAATTAATTTCCAACCTCGCTGGGAATCAAACCCACGAGCTTCGGAATTGTACTGCCGATGCTCTACCAGCTACTTTACTAGCTAAAAACAATACCTGCTGAAACACTGAACACATAGCTAGAACAATAGCTGCTCAGCTGGACATGACAGCTGGTGACAAGAGATTGATCAACACGTGACCATGCAGTCAAGGTGTCCAGTCAATGTGACCAGTCAAGAGGACCATCGTAAGAGATATTCACCAGACAAGTGCCAATTCTGACCACTGTTGTAAAACAGAAGCCAGCTAATCAGTGCAGGTGTTATATATATATATATATATATATATATA